GGGGGGGGGGGGGGGGTGTTGTATTCTAACATATATTTTTTTACTTCTTAATTTAATGAAGTTAATCTCAGGAGTTGAAGTTAAATTCAAGACATTAAATATATGGGCAGGTTTTCTGATCAGCAGCAGTCATACATTACGAAAGCAATCCAAGAAAATAGATAGCTTCAATCCTTGTCGAAGCTATTATTATGTCTAACCTCATTCTTATCAATGAAAAACACGTTCATCCAATAAAAGATTACCTGATAGTCAGGTTAGAACATACACATGTTCACGATATCTATGTGAAATGAAAATGTTGTTTACCTGCAACACTTGTCGCAGAAAAATTTAAGAAGACGTAAATTTCAGAGTCAACAACTAAAATTTTTGAGACAGCTTGTAATAGAACTGTTCTGTTCAATATCAAGGCTCAAGTCCAGAAATGTTTCGTCCCTTGCTGTCACTGTCTCACAACGCAAGCACCTCGTTTCATTTGTCAAAATACCCTGGACAGTAATGGACATCAATGAATTCCTAAGTAGTTCAATGGTGCAACAAAAATTTAATGCATCCAAGAAAGACCTATCTACTTGTTTGATAAAAACAGTAGAACAGAAAAATCAGTAGGCACATAAATACCAGCCACTGCTTAGTGGCACTAGCTGGGAAATAACAGAGTGGTGCAGCTTAACTTTTCATAAATGGAGCCAGCAATTACACATCACATCTGGGCACAGAACCCCAAAAATGAAGAGAGGCACACAAATTTGCAGTTTCTTGCCCCTTATTATGCATTATAGATCACAAGGAAGCAAGAAAATGATTGTGGAAACAAAATTCACCTGGAAATTTTTGTGCACCCAAGTGACTATAGGCTCCTTTTGATGACCATTAACAGACATATTATTTGGTCCATTAGAAATCTTTTCTGATGGAGATGAAGATTCTTGATCACTCTTAGAAGCGCGAGCCTCTTTCTCCAGTATGTCAACCAGTTCATTTAACAAATAGTTGAGAAATTCATGAGCATCCTAAAATAAGATATGAACAATATTAGCAGATCAAAGCTGTTTTTACATGACATTCCAAGAAAATAGGCAATAATTAATGCAATCCTAAAATCCAGGCGTAGAAAAGGCATTCAGTGATTTATACAGTACATAAAGGATCGCAGTGTAATTTTTACTTCATCCAACAGATGATTTCATAAGAAAGGGCAGTGGGATAAAGTAAATAGGGTCAGACTAAATTGTTCGGGAGCATGAGCATCATCGAACCTACTAAAAAATTTCCAAGATAGAAGCCACCAGAATAATGATCCCTAAAATCTCAAGACCATCACATGTCTCCTCTAGCACTTCAAAAGTAGAAATGTGTAATTGCAACTAATAAAGTGAAGCACAGTAAAATACCTCTGTCTATATATGAAAAAACATTACGAAGAAAGTTAATGGTTTCAGTCAACCAAGAAGCAAAATATAATTATGCATACACAATTGATGATAACTCACATGAAAAGCAGGTATATGAGAAGTTAGAGAAATTATGAAAGCATTCAATAATAAATGAATTTTATGTTTTAGTTTAACACATGCATCTTAAGAAAATAATCAAAATATCAATATCCATGGTGACACATTGCTGTAGGACATGGATTACAGATGGCTGAACATAAATTGAATTGATTGGAGATATAATTGGTCCTCAACAATCACAACATTTTCTGTTCTTCCCTGGCAAAGATAATTTGAAGTTTTCTTGTACCTTCGAACCCTATGCCTTTAATATTGTGACCTAACCCCTATCTTCCACCAGTCCTTACCAGTCGTCAACCCCCTATTGCTTCTAAAAAATTCAACATATTACGAGCAAAACATATTAGCAAATTTGACCAAATTCACATCAAAGAATGTGAGTCTACCTGAAAAGCCTAAGACAAGAGTTTAATGCAGTGCAAGGACATTCTAGGGGATAAAGACAAACACGCTATTGCATACAAACAAATAATTGACATATCCGGGCAGAATTAGCTTTGCCATCCAAGGATTTTGGAAGCGCAGCATAGCAATCCGTTAGTATCAGTGTTCTAAAATGCGTAATGCGTAGCGAAGCGTCGAGGCCGAGAATCAAGAATCACAAGTTTAGGCGTGTCAATGCGAAAAATAAACGGCATAATGCGTTTCATATTTTAAGGCATTAAATATATTTTTATATATAAAAAAAATATTTGTTCTAAAATGCGCGCTTAGGCGTGCCTAGGCTCGCTAATGCGGGCTAATGCGCGCCTAGGCGCGCGAATTTTCGAACAAAAATCGTCAAAAACGCATTTTCCGCGCATTGTACCAATTCGACACGTTTGGTCCCCGCTTCGCGCCTTTTCGAACACTGGTTAGTATCATCATTCGCTAAATACAACAAAATCTAAATTATCCAAAATACCTGGTTCTTTAGCATTCAAGTCTTAATACGTGTTCATCTAAGTATTCCTGTAGCTGACAACCATTTGACAAGGGACTATGACATTACATATCAAACTCAACGGATGTCAATATAATTTCTACCATCGCATAATATATCCATGACTTTTATTTTATGTTTAACAAGCAAAATTCATCCATATGCTTTTGTTTAGATATTTTGAGTGATAGGACAATTTGTAAGCTCCATATCTAGCATCCTCAACGAGGGAGGTTACGCATACCTGGTGCATATAGCTACGAAAAATTTCATTTTGCTTCCTCAATCTCTGTACAAACCGCTTTGGAGCAATAACACCAGTTTTTCTCTTTTGCGAGCTTATCTACATGGGAAAACACATGTAAGCCCACAAGAAAGAAAATATATTTTGGGGATTTTCTATGTGTCTGTATTTGGGGTGGGAAGAGAGTATTACTGAAATCACAGAATGAGCAGAAGCAAGCATTAAACTTCGTAGCCTTTTAATATAAATGAGAAAAAGCATTCCAGATGCCATAAAACACAAATGTTAGGATCCAACAAGTCACATCTCATCACAGTTATTATGCAGGTTTCAACCTACTGGCTACAATCAAATTTAGCCCCATTTGATTCAACTACCTTGGAATTCCTCAACCCAGACTCCCACATGACCCCGTCATCACTGCTAACAGGCCATTGTACAAACATCTCCACATAGTGACTCAGATTCATGTACTATTACAAAGATAGACACGGAGATCTAACAGAAATCCTTCTCGAACATATTCACTAGATACATGTTACATTAGGCGATTAAAGAATGCTTTATGATTCCCAACAAGATAGGGTCTTATAATACATAATATTAGGTCATGTCAATTCCGACATCACAAAGTTTCCTTCACAATTTACGCTCTGTTGTATTTGTTTTCTAATGATGTTATGTGCTGCAAATAATCCTAATTATAACCTTTTTCTTGAATGATCTTTGCAAATAATTCTAATGATGTTAGGAAAATACGGTTGAAACTTGAATACAGTTAGTGACCTTTTTCTTGAATGGTCTTTGCAAATAATTCTAATGATGTTAGGGAAAATACGGTTGAAACTTCAATACAGTTAGTGGTCTTTACAATCTTAAACCAATTTGTTTGTTGACCAAGTGAATGATATCCTATGGCACGGATCTTGCAAAATGAAATGAATTCAACTGATCAATTTGCTAAACCAAGTTTTTCAAATTCAAGTTGGAATTCAGCAACAACATAAAAATATTTTTCCAGACTGTTTTAGCGTCCAGGTAACCAATTCTAGAGGGTTTATCTACGCAAGAGAGCCACAATCGACTTATTTAAACAAACAGAAAATGAGATTCCAATCACATAATTTGACGAGATAGTCAGCCCTCTCCAAAAAATGCTTACCTGTGTAAATAAATCTGCTAGGCACGTCAAGAGATTTTCATCTGCATCAGCTGGACTTTTGTTATTTGAATAATATTCTAGCAACTGCTCGCGAAATGGAACACAGAAGTACAGAGCCTGCATTAAATGGAGAATGAAATTAAAAAGAATTCTAAAAAAAAAATTATTATGTTCAGTATGCATGCTTTATTAACTGTGAAGACGAAACATACTAAAACAATAATAGGAAAGAATTTCAAAATTCAAAAAATGCCAGCTAATTACAGCTACTATCTAATACTGATGTGGTGCGCCGACATCTTATGATCAATGTATCTCAATAGAGTGAGGATCATGAATTCATAATTTACAAACCTCCAATCAGAGTCATCATTACCAGAGAACAATGGATAAACCAAATCAATTATTTTTAGACACGTTAGCGTAGGATAAACAAAGTGTGTTCAACCAAGAACTACAGATAACATATTTAATTGATTCAAGTATTGAATTAAGTTTTACACTTCAACTGAAATAAATGGTGAATAATTTAATCTAAACCAACCAAGAACTACAGATAACATATTTAATTGATTCAAGTATTGAATTAAGTTTTACACTTCAACTGAAATAAATGGTGAATAATTTAATCTAAACCAAGTACAGAGCAAAGGATCCATAACATAGAGGCATGTCATGATCTGTCCAGTAATATAATACACGGAAGTAAAAGAATTATAGTTTAAGCATGAAAGAGAGAAGATGTAAAGAACAGAGATGTAACTTAATTTTTCCTTTCCTAAGGATGCTATCTTAGTTTCAAACTATGGAAGAAAGAAATGTAAACTATGTAAATTCTAAATTTTGCCACATGCTTTTTTCAATTTTCCGTTCCCCCATATATTCTTTCAGAAGCTTAGTCTGTCACATTTGCTTCTATTATCCTCACATTTGCTTCTATTATCCAGCTCCGAAAAGGAGGCAGAAAACGTGCATCTTGACATTCTAAAAAAACCTCAATCTCTTCATAAGGGCCCTTGTGATCCAATTTAAACCAAAAACAATCTGCCATCTTTATTCTAGCAATACAAGTCAATTGTCACAAGTTAAACCAATGGTAACAAACAGCACGGTCACCATCATTTCTAGTTAACTTATCAGCACAACAGCGAATGAACTATTGTATATATCCTCATATTCACTAAGAAATTTATTACATCCTATCTAATAACCAAGCAAAACAATTCCAATCAGGCACTCACAGATAAACAGTAAAACTTGATTGCATCGTAAGAAAGTACGGTTGACAAAACACAAAGTCTCTGTTTGGTTCAGCTACAAAAATAGATTAAAATCTAAGTTAAAGTCAACAATTAATTTTAACCACATATTTCATGAGTCCCATGGCTTTTTAACCATTAATCCTATCAACTTTTATCAAAATCTACTAAAAATCTGATTTTTATATAAACCAAAATGAGCTAAATTCAGCCGTTATTAAAGTTGCATATATAGACAGAAACGCGAATAACTACATATATTCACTCAGAAATATTTACTCCACTTCCATCAAGAAGCAAAAAAGTAAAAAACCCAATCACAGCTAAACAGCAAAATTGATTGAAATGAATCTCGCAAGAAAACACTAAATTCACAAATAATTACACTACAGGTAGAAACATATAAACTCGAATAACTACAAAGAGATATAGGAATGATCGTCATGCTATGTCAAGAAACCTGAAGAACGCTGTTGCAATAGCAAGTGTTGCCGAAATTTTCAAGACCAAAATATCGCTCGCCTTCGGGGAATTGGTCTCCCAGCGCCTTCTCTAGTTTCGACCCCGCTGCCCCCATACCTCCTCACTTCATGCAAAAAATCTGTATCTATACTGTATTTATATATCTTAATTGCATATTCTTTTTCGGAATTATTAGGGTTTGATTAAGATAGATGGAATCGGAGATAAATTGGAGAATTGGTTTGCGATTGGATTGGGGGAAATGAAACGAAGACAAGGGCTTCGTTAGCGGATGTGGAAAATAGACATTAAAACAATATTTTATTAAAGTAAATTTTTATTTTAAGCATGTTTTGATAGATTTTTTTTTATTACACCCCGTTTGATTTACATTCTTAAAAAATAAATTTTTTCAATACTCATTTTCAATAATACAATATTCAATAAGATAATATTACACGTTAATTCAAAAAAATTTCTTATTTTTTAATCACATATTTTACTTCACGTCATTATTTAAAAATTGGGCTTATTATTTGTTTTTTAAATATTATTTGTTTAAAAGTATATTTATAATTAAATTAAATTAATTTTAATTTAATAAATAAAATATTATTTAAGAGTTGACTGAGTTGTTAAGTTGAGTAAGATCGTGAACAAGGTACTTAAAGTATACGTGTAATGTTGATCTTAACTTAAAATACGATCTTATCATGTTATTCAAGAAGTGATCTTTTCAAAATAGTAAATTTGAAACTTATAAGTTACTTTTATTTATAAAAGAAAAAATTGTATAATGTTATTCATCCCTACTGAGATGAAAACATAGTCTATGTAGCGTTAATGTTGCATTAAATGATAGGTGAAATTAAATTAAGTCAATTAATTTCACCTTTTATTTAAATCCACATAAACTGTATTTTCATCCCCACTAGGGATGAATAACATTACTCGAAAAAATTACACGAGAAGACTACCTTCAAGACTAGGAATTATATCATCATGTGTAAATAAAATACCCAGAATCGTAAATTATATTTTTCTCTCTTATTTTTAGCTCCGTTTGATCCACATTCTTGAAAAATTTATTATTTCTTTTCTCATTTTTAACCACACATTCATCGATAAAATAATGTTACGCACAAATCCAAAAAAAATTCTTATTTTTTAACCACATATTTTCCATCACATCACTTGAAAAAATACATTCTTTTCTCCACGATGTGTATCAAATACAGTTTAATCACACAATCTTCAATAAAATAATATTACATACAAATACAATTTTTTTCTTCTTTTTAACCATACATTCTCAATAAAAATACTATTTCAAATGCATTATTTCAAAAAATGAGTCTCAAACATGCCCTAAACTTTAGTTCCTGTCTATTATACCTTAAATTCTGGATAAAATTTAAATTGAAATCAACAATTTATTTTAATCATATATTTTATCAAATCTACAACTTTTACTACTTTTTTAATTGCATATTTCAATAGCTTTATCAAAATTTATTAAAAATTTGATAGTTAGTTATATCGTCTAAGAAATCTATAATATATTAAATATCACATCAAGTGAGAATCATTTTTGAACAATTTTAATCTTATTACAATTCAATTATTTCAATAATACCTTACTTTTCATTTTTTTAATATGTAATAAATACTACAAAAATTCTACCATGCATGAATTTCATGTTATTAATTCCCAATTAATAAACATTCACACTAACATAAATTCAATGAATTTTGAATTGACGAATCTTGATATACGTGAATCTAGAGTTAATATAAATGTATTTATTTCTATTCATGTATCTATGAATTTTAACGGGTGTTTAAATTTATATATTAGCAATTAATTCTTATGTACTAAATATATGTAGTATAAAAATGTTGTTTCCTTTGTAGTATTTCATCATCAGAAAAAAAATTAAAATATAGAAGTTGAGTTTTGAGAATACAACTTTCTTCTCTTAAATTTCTACCCTATATTTTATTTTCTTTAGTTCGTTTGAGACTCATCAAATCTTCCAAACAAATTGATATCAAATATTACTTTTATAGTATTTATGAAATATTTCGGAATAATGTACAATACAGTTCGACTCTGACTAGTGTTTACAAGGATTAGAAAGAATTAGTTATAAAAATTTGTCAATTCGTTCAATGATGAAAGTGCAAGTGTGCAAAAATCCTTCCTTTTCACACTCTTCCATAAAAGAGTAAAAAATGCTACTCAAAATTTTTCCTTTTCCTTTCAACTTGTCTAAGAATTAATTAAGTTTACTAAAAAGCGGATATTAATTAATAGATGAGTAAAATCTGGATATAATTCAAAAAAATATAGGAAAAAAACATATGAAGAAATTGGTGATCGGACTTCGTAAGCTTGGAACGAGGCAATCCCATTACTTATTGGGTTGGATCATTCCCATGATAATTTAAGGAGCAGTGTGTCGTATCTTAGGGGCCGTTCTCTTTGTATTTCAATTTTGCGTTTTGAGTTTTGAAATCATTTTGTATTTTGTGTTTTGAGAGTCCATTTTAAAATTTTTGAAAATGCGTTCTTTTTGGCATTTTGTAAAACTATTCCTCAAAATCATTTTCTCAAAACACGTTCACATGGGTTTTTGTTTTCCATTCTCCAGCTAGAAATCGCCCCACGCCTCCACCAGCGCCACAGCCTTCTACCTCACAAATCGACCACAACCCACCACCTAGACCACCAGATCCCAGCATCATTCCAACCCCCTGACCTCCCTCTACAACATCCACGGATTAATTGACCATAAATCAGCCGAAATCAGTCGAAATCGCCGCACTACCACTCGTGGTTTCGGCCAATAAACACCGCCGCCGGCCACATTTCCGATCGCGGACCACCACCAATCCACTCCTCTCAACAAGGCGCATCCAATACTACTATGGGTCACCTTCGATTGGCTCTAGAACTGGCTGATTCCTGCAGAAGCCAGGTGTGCTGAATCAGTTTTTTAGGGTTTTTTTTCCTTCGATTTTGTTATATGATTGATTGTTGTTTGTGTGGTAATTGAAGAGGGGATTGAGGGCTTCACGGTGGTTTATTAATCCGGCCATTTTGGAGGAGGTTGGTCGGAGTTTGGGGGGTTTGAAAGTGGCGGTAGAGTGTGGTTGCAGCAGAAAGGAGGAAGGGGTTTGTTCTGTGTTGCAGCAGAAAGGAGGAAATCGTTTTGGGCATTTCCCGTGTTTTCCATTTTCAGCTACATTTGTGAAGAAAACGTGGAAAACGGCTTTTTGGCCGTTTTCTGTTTTCTTCACAATTTTTTTTTCCGTTTTCGAAAATGACGAAGAGAACGCGTTTTCGCCGTTTTGAAAAATCGAAAACAGAAAACGGCTTTAAAACGGCAAAGAGAACGCCACCTTAGCAATTCGACTAACGAACCAGATTCAAAAATGAACTAAAAAAAGTTTAAATCGAGCTAAGATGTAAAAAAATAAAATTTCAACATAAATTATCTTTATACATATAAATTTATTTTATATGTTTTGTTGACATTAAAAAGTGTAAGAATCAATTTAAGTAAACTTCTTGAGCAAATAAAGAGAAAATAAGGATTTTTATTGATAATCACCTCTGAATTACGAGAGTTTCATCAGAAGAGATATTTGAAATATGAAAGTGTTATCCCTCTTTCTTACAATACCTTATACACTTTAATAGGAAAAGAAGATCCAGTATCTTTCATATTCATGTATTGTTAATCACGAGTGCCGAACTGAAAAAAGTACATTATTAGCATATCTCCATTGGTTACTGAGGTCGGTTTCATCAGTTTATCATGAAATCGTCCTTTAAGTGGGTCTCTAACAATTAATGAACTAATGAGTGAGCGAAGCTACATCATATGATTGGCGAAATAAGTGGGCGCTGACGTAAGTTCTGAATGTAATAATTAATTTGATTGTATGTTTTGGCAATGTGTGAAGAATCTATAATCATTATGTTCATTTGAACCACAGCGTTACGAGCTAACCTGGTGACTTCATAAAGTTGATATGAGATTCGGATAAGTTGAGTGTATTTAACAATCGGTTTTAATTAGGTCGCATGTCGAATATTATCATGTTTTAATGAGCTGGTGTTGATTGAACTAAAGCTCAATCATGTATGAAAAATAAGAATTTTGCTACTTTTACATTAAAAAATGTACATAATGGATTACATGATATGATGTGAAAGGAAAAAATTGGATGAAAAAGTTGATTCCGCTTTAAACTGATAAATTGTAGAGTATCACGTGACATTATGTAATACATTATGTAGTTTTTGATGTGCATGTAGTAAAATCCAAAATAAAAAATGCTAGATCTACACTCTGTACATTTACTTTGACATTTGATGTGCTGTTAAAAAATGATTGAAAGGAAAATTGTTTATTTTTTTTAAACTGTCTAATAGTATGTTGCCACATGACAGAGCGTGAATGATGATGTAAAGAATAATGTGCATGTAACATGAATGATCCGAAATATGCGTTATTGGATCCAATCATGCTTGTTGTACATCATAGTATACACATCGCCATGTGTTAAGCTACTATTAGACAATTTGAAAAAAAATAAATATATTTTACGCCAATCACATCTTGACAACAAGGATGATGTACAATTTCTTCTATTTTAAAAGTTGATGTCTTTCAGAAATTCTCTCATCCCGTTAAGAGAAGCGTCTTTCGGATATTTGATTTAAGAGTGTGTTTGGTAGGGATTTTAGGGGAAGAATTGATTTTTGAATAGTGATATGATGAGAANGGAATAATTGATTTTTGAATAGTGATATGATGGGAAATGTGTGGTTGAAAAAGAAGAAAAAAGTATTGATGTGATGGAAAATATTATTTTATTGAAGAATGTGTGGTTGAAAATGAGAATTGATTTACCGTAGAAAATGAGAATCTGTACCAAACAGGCTCTAAATTTTTTACCTCAATTTGCTTGTAATAATTCAATATTCAATTCAAATCTTTGTTTGGACTGAATTAAAAATTTGATTTTAGTCAAAGTCAAGCAATCAATATTAATCACGTCTTTCATGGATTCCACAACTTTTCAATCACACATTTTAAAAATTTTTATCACAAAATAAAAATCTAATTTTAATCCCCACCAAACATCCCCTAAACTTATTATAGTGTTTAGTATTTACTTGTAAGCAATTATTTTAAGAACAGAACTCAACCAAACATAAAATAAAAGTAAGAAGAAACTCCTTATCGGCTTATCTACAAGAGGGTAAAAGGCAGGAGAGGAGAGTTAGTGGCAGATAGCGTAATCAAGAAAAAGATGACGAGTTTCTCCATAGCCTGTACCATCCCTCTCCCTTCAAAATCGGGCATTTCAAAGCCCTCTTCTTCCTCCTTTAATGGCATTCGAATTGCGCATTACTGCCCACCCAGCGCCTTGTCCACTCGGATTTCACACACTTCTTCTTCTACAGTGGTTATGATGGCGAAAAAAGAGGAGGAATTGAAAGAAATCAGAACCAAAACTACTGAACAGCTTAACGATGAGATTGTCGACCTCAAAGGAGAGCTCTTCATGCTCCGCCTTCAACGCTCCGCTCGTAACGAGTTCAAGTCGAGCGAGTTTCACCGAATGCGCAAAAGGGTACTCTCTACCTTTTTTTAAGTGAATGTGTATTGACTTCTCTTGCTATTCTTAGTTTTATGGCATGCTTGATATAAAATATTAGACATTACTCTTCCGAAAGAAAAAGAAGTTAAAATCTTGTTCTGTACAGAAGATTAGTCTGTCTTAATTTGTTGGTTTTCAATTGATTTTGAGGTCGGGATTTGGGAAGTGAAATGAAATGAAATGAAATGATTGTGAAGCTGCATATATTAAAAACTGAATTTTGTCTGACTATTAATAATTTTTAATGGCAAATTGGTAGTGTGATTGAGAAATGAAGAAAGATTGGACACTTTGAAAAGATTTCAACTTTAAATACATAAAATGTTTAGATGGAGTTCTGGAGCTGTTTGCACTCTATTCTTTCAGTTTTTTTCCCTGATTGGTATGAATAAAATCCTAATTTAAATCTGCAGTTGTGAATCATTATTGTTTCTAGATAAGGCGCTTGATATTCTTGAGTTTGTTGACGTGCTTCTACATTTTGTTGCTCGTCTGATGTCGTCTCATTATAAGTAAAGAAGTTGTCGGGTATAGGGTTCTCACTAAAAATTTCTAGTAGCAAATGGTTCTTCAATCTACCTTCTCAGATTTATGTTAAGCAGCTGCAATATTGTATATAGACTTAAGACTACTTTCCATGTTGGATACCTTTTTATTGTTGAACTACCTCGTCTAAAAGCTTGAGTTTGTTATAGAGCAGACAATTGCTTTGTTATCGATACTCTCCCTCATGCGTAGGCCGGATTCCATTTCATCGTCAAAAGTCTTAATCCATGGGCATTTTTATAAATATGTAGTGGTGAGACTTGAACTTAGAACCTTAATCGTATCATGTTGAACCACCTCTTTATAAGTTATACTTAAAGAGTGGTGACAAATTAATTTCTTATATTAAGTACTTCAATTAACACCAGTGTCTTTCCCTATGCAAGGACATGAGCTGGATGCACACTGTTACTGATATCAGCTTCACAGAGAAAATTTCTTAGTTAAGATTAGTTAATGAAAGATTTTATATGGAGTTTCTAGTTGTACTTAGTTGCTGCTTGTGGTTCAAACTTAACAATGTTGCCTGTAGAATTCTGCATATGTGAAAGACTTCTTGTGCATGCCTGAACGTATTACATGATACAAAATACTACCAAATACTGCACTCATTTTAGGCTCATTGTGTGTGTTTCTTGTTCAAACCACATGTCCGAGTTCTAATATATTGAACAGAGAAATTAGTGCAGCCTCTACTGCTCTGATACTTTTACATTTAGAAGACTAATGTCAAGTTGAATAAGATTTACATGGTAAATAATTGAGAAGCTTGCTTCTTTGATTCTCTTCACTTGAGGAAGGATAAAGGGCTATGTTTTTTTTTAGAATCCTTGGATTTACTAGAGTTGGTTCTATTAAGTCATCTCTTCTTAACTTAAAGATCCCTCCCTAATCAGACGCCACTTGCATGCTACTTTCTTTTATGATTTTATTTTTAAGCTTTCACTTCTCTCTCTCTTATTTGCCAGTTTAGTCACTTATTTGTCTTTGAACAAATTATCTCTAATTTGAAAATAGATTGCCCGCATGCTCACTGTGAAGAGGGAGAGAGAGTTGGAGGAAGGAATTAACAAGAGGTTGTCAAGAAAGCTCGACCGGAAATGGAAGAAAAGCATCGTTCCTAGACCACCTCCATCTCTTAAGAAATTACAAGAGGAGGAGGCAGCAGCAGAAGCCAAGGAATCGACATGAGTTTCACTGGACCTTTTCTTTTGAGCAAATTCATGCATCTCTCTTCTTTTGTCATCCATTTCTTCTTTTCAAGTTTTTGATACCAAGTGTAAGGTTTTTAATTGTAGCTCGATAACTGATCTGTGTGTAATTCCGCGTGCTTGTTACATCGTTGTGGATTATATACACATTTATTTTCAGTTTTGGTGCGTACAAAGGGAACTTTCCCACTCCGGTAAAGGAGAATGTGTTGTGCCATCGACTAGCTCTCTTTAAACCATATATGCTTAAATCTGCGGTGTCAAACACGTATTTATTGAGGTCTGCTTTAGTTTGTTTCAGTTGATAAACCGTCTCACGAGCAATATATGTCTTAAGAAAGTTCAATCAATCTTTACATATGGAGGTTCAAATTCAATTAATTTTGATTTTTGATTTTGTTTAGAAACTCAATTGCTGCTAAAGTGGGCCAGATCATAACCTGAGTCGTCCGAAATGTCCGGGTCAAATTCCATATTTTAATTTGTAATAAGAATATGCAAACAGCTAAACTTCAAAGAAAGCCAATTGAAGTTGTGTAACTTTAAAAACAAAGATAAAATTGTTACGCCTCAAAATTAAGGCTCGAGAAGAAACCTACACCTCAAAAGAGGAGCTCAAAAAGAAGTCAAAGTACTATGTAAGTGGCCGAAGTCCTGAAGTCGAAGCATAGGCAAGTAGATGAAACTCTAAACCAATGCACTATCTAAATAGCCAAATCTCTAAAGCCTAAGCACTATATAAGAAGTCACAGAAGAAGCCGAAGTTCTTCACACCTAAGACATCCAATACGAAGTACCCTTTGGCTGAAGTCCTGGCTTCAATTTGAAGCTCCCTTATACTGAAGTCCTTGTTATCTTTTAGAGGATCTATAGGTAATTTTTAGGAATGATTAATATTACGTTTGTAATAATGAATGTCATGATTGTCAACCTATGGTACAAGGTGGCTGATCCGTTGTCAAAGTATTAAATACATAGTAAACTGAGTGATGTGAGACTTTGTGTCACGGACTGCAGCTTTACTTAAGCCCCGTGACCCTATTGCAGCCGCAGTTTGCCCAACTTCGGCAGCACATTGTAAATATTTCATTTAATTGTAAAATAGTTGTAAATTAGAAAATTTTAGTATGATTCCTCGGCCAAAAGACGTCTACTCCCGTCATTTGGGTTTTTGTTGCTAAGTCTATTATAGGGGGTATATGACTTTCAAACATCTTTCAAGCTTTTCTAGTGTTCGCCCCCTGCACTAGCCATTGTAATTTCCTGCTTTCAATCTATTGTAATTTCAAGCTTTCTAGCAATCAATGATCAAGTTTATTTCAATGCATTTCAATTTCGTGTTGTAAGCTTTCTTTAAATTGTGATCAAATCTACTTTTGTCCCGAGACGGACCGAGAAAAGGCGGAAGGTAGTCTAGCGGAGCAGACTACTGCCGCACGGTGTCCCTTTCTGTGCTAAGAAGAAAGGTAACCCGTGAAAGTTGGTATCAGAGCTGCGGCTCAAGACCCTCGATAAGAAAGCGATGGATACAATGGAACCGGACACCACGGAGGTGGTGGATCCTCAGAGGAGGACTACGAAACAGCGTTTGGAGGCGCTGGAGGTGACAAACACTAGGTTGTGTTTGGCCATGGAGGGCCTTGGAGAAAAGGTCGAAGTGGCAGAGACGGAAACTCGAGAGGTACGCATCCAACTGGATGAATGCCAAGAAGCTTGCGCAGCTATGACTGAAGCTGTTGCTAGCATACCTGTTCTGCAGGAGGAAGTGGGAATGTTGAGAGCTCAACTGGTAGTTCTTCAACGCGCGTTTGGCAATGGGCAAGCCACCGTGCAAGAGTCTATGCATAGGCTCAGAATTCCAGATCCGTGTACCTACGGAGGGGCACGCGATGCTAAAGAAGTTGAGAACTTCTTGTTCGACATGGAACAATACTTTCTTGCGGCTTCGATCCAAGACGAAGCGAGAAAGGTTACTACAGCTACCATGTATCTATGTGGAGATGCAAAACTGTGGTGGCGGACGAAGTATGCTGATATTCAGGCCAACAGGGTCCGAATAGATACTTGGGAGCTTCTGAAGGAAGCAATCAGATCTCAGTTTTTCCCAGAGAATGTGGACTATCAGGCACGACGTGCGCTGCGAGATCTGAAACATACAAGCTCCATCAGGGAGTATGTGAAAGCCTTTTCCGGGCATATGCTGAATATTCGAGACATGTCGGAAAGGGACAAGCTATTCACCTTCATGGAAGGGTTGGCACCGTGGGCACGCACGGAACTTCAGAGACAGAAGGTCACTGATTTAAGCGTAGCTATTGGAGCTGCTGAATGTTTGAGTGACTATCAACCAGAATTGAGAGATGATCAATATTCGGGAAATAGTCAGTCTATCGGAGGTGGAAATAGACCTCATAGACCTAGCTCGAGCTCAAATGGGGGAGAGCGTTACTCTCGGAATAGGGGAGAACCCTATCAAGGCAACCGTCAGAGTAACTTCAAAGGAAGTCACAACGGGAGCAACAGTAACAACTGGAACAAAGGAAAAGCAACGGAGGGCAGATCTGATGTCGCTCCTAAATTGAAATGCTTTTTATGTGAAGGACCACATCGGGTGGCACAGTGTCCTCAGAAACGGATGGTGAATGCATATTACCAACAAGCAAGTGGCAGGACCAAATCGAAGCAAGGTACCCCACAAGCTAGTTGCCATAGTGAGACCAGTTCCGACGGGGATGAGGATGTAGTTGGTGCAATCTCACATCGGTGCAATACACTATTGCACCGAGCTACGAAAAGGGACGAAGGTCCCTCGAGAGAGCCGAAGATGGAAGAATCAAAGGCTTGCATTCGTAAGGCGAAAGGCCTAATGTACATTGATGTGAAGATCAATGGAAAGCCAATCAGGGCTATGGTAGATACTGGTGCAACCCACAACTACCTCGCAAGTGCCGAAGTGGATCGACTCGGACTTATTTTGGAGAAGAGCCACGGAAAGGTCAAAGCAATCAACTCCATTGCTCAACCAATAGCTGGAGTAGCCAAATCTGTCTTACTCAAAGTTGGTCAGTTCGAGGGAAGGACTAACTTGTCTGTGGTTCAGATGGAAGACTTCAAGCTTATTTTGGGATTGGAATTTCTTCGGGATACTAAAACAGCGGTGTTGCCGTACCTCAATTCACTAATGATGATGGGTAGCAAACCGTGTGTCATCCCCACTCAAACTGGGAAGAGAGGCGAGAAGAGTATCTCGGCCATGCAATTTTGCAAGGGTTCCGAAAGGAATGAACCCTCACTTTTGTGCACTCTTAGATCAGAGGAGATCGAAGAGGCGACTGATCCTATTCCAAAGCATGTCAGAAGGAGTGTTGAGGAATTTGGAGACATCACACCGGATGAGTTGCCAAGGAGGGCAATTGATCGCGGGATTGAACTTGATCCAGGTGCCAAACCTCCCAGCGAGGCACCATACTGGACGACTCAGCCGAAGCTTGAAGAGCTTCATGCAGGTCATCAGAAAAAGGCAGGCTTACTGGAGCCCCTTTCCGTCCCGAGTAGACCAGTCGAGAGTGGATCGATGGACTACATTGGTGGATTGCCGAAATTAGGAGATTTTGGCACTATCACGGTCAAGATGGACCGTTTATCTGAAGATGGAACTGTTACCACAGCGCCCAAGTATGTATCAGCCGAAGAGACAGCTCAACTCTTCTTCAAACATATTGTCAAATACTGGGGACTGCTTAACAACATTGTCAGTGATCGGGATTCTCGAGTTACTGGCATACTTTGGACCAAGTTGTTCAAACTTCTTGGCCCAACTTTGAGCATGAATTCTAGTTTTCACCCACAGTCAGACGGACAGATAGAGCGCTTCAAATATATGCTGGAAGACTATTTTCGGCACTTCATCTCTGCTCCGCATGAAGTTTGGGTAAAACTTTCGGATGTGGCCCGGATGTGTTTCAATGCTCAAGAGACCTCTTCGCCCAACAAGGGTCCTTTTGAGATTACTACTGGCCAGCAACCGTCCCTCCCTCACATTGCAGTCATCAAACAGAAACAGTACAAGAAGTCTGAAGATCTGAAGCGACTTGTGTTTAACTTGAAAAGATCAGAAATGAAGGTTGCTGAAGAGATTCTTGGCCATCGAGCTTCTAGGAATTATCTTCAAGAATACTTGGTCAAATGGAGCGGATTCAACAACGAGAAGAACAACCAACGGCTCAGAGGACTTCGCCAAAGCAAATGGGGGAGAATGTCACGGGCAGCAGCCTTACTTAAGCCCCGTGACGCTATTGCAGTGGCTGCACCTTGTAAATATTTCATTTAATTGTAAAATAGTTGATAATTAGAAAATTTTAGTATGATTCCTCGGCCAAAAGACGTCTACTCCCGTCATTTGGGTTTTTGTTGCTAAGTCTATTATAGGGGGTATATGACTTTCAAACATCTTTCAAGCTTTTCTAGTGTTCGCCCCCTGCACTAGCCATTGTAATTTCCTGCTTTCAGTCAATTGTAATTTCAAGCTTTCTAGCAATCAATGATCAAGTCATGTTCAATGTATTTCCATTTTATGTTGCAAACTTTCTTTGAATTGTAATCAAATTTCTTTTCGTCCCGAAACGACCGAGAGAAGGCGGAAGGTAGTCTAGCGAAGCAGACTACTGTCGCACGGTGTCCCTTTCTGTGCTAAGAAGAAAGGTAATCCGTGAAACTTTAGCATGGGAGATGAGGCCACGTGGCTCTTATCCAACGCCTACAACGCCGGCCAAAGCTCTATAAAAACTCACAATTTATGTCATTTGAAAAATAATGCAACCATTTACCCTTGAAACCACATTCAATCTTCTCTCTTACTTTTTCCATATTTATTTGCTTGAGTTAAATTAATCTACTTTAGTTGAGTTGTTTATGATTGTTTATTTATATGCAATCATCTTTGATCATATTGTCGATGCTTCAACATTTTTGTTCCGTGTC